TATTAAAAAAATAATGTTATATAACATGTAACGAATCTCGTAGTATTTATAATAATATGTCAGACAGCGCACATCAACAGTGTTTAATACATGTTATACCAATTTATAATATTGTCCCGGAGCCGAAACAATGCGTCCGGGGTCGAAGTATTTTGAAAGTAGTTCCAACCCTGGTTCTCGGTTCAAAAAAAAATGGTATAATATTGTAGTGTAGGAACTACCAGTCATAAAAATCTAATCACCAAACGTTAAAATCTAAACGAATTAAATTGTTTCATTTTTTTTTATGCATTATAGATTCAGTGTTTATTTTTCATTTAAGATCTGCCTTTTTTTAAGCTCCACCTGTCGTTCTAAATTGTATCAATTCAGTAAAATTTCACGACACGTACGACGTGCCTTATGGAAAATTGCCAATTTGGGAACGTTGTCAAAATATTTAAATTTCTCGGCTCATTCTGACTGTGACGAGGTGTTAAATCTTATGAAAACGGATCGAAGTGAAAAATATTACACAGGGACGAGTATTTTTAATCTGACGTCTGAAATTCGGATTCATTTATAACAGACACCTCTACGAAAGGTGTTGTATTAACAAGTTTTTCATAAACACGCTCCAATTATGTGGAACACGACAATAATATTACAATAACGGGGAGAAAAACAATGTATTGTTAAGATTAATTTGGCAAAAAAAAAAAAAACGTAAATCGGGTTATGGTTACTCGTATACCTACTTCCATACATAACATATAGATAATACGTTATCGTGACCACTTTTACGTCTTTATAATTTAATTCTGGTTTGATCCAATCTACACATAATAATAATTGTTCTCATACGTAATTCATGGAAAGGTCATTATTTTCAACAGTTTAGGGTTACGTGACAAACCGATACCATTATATTATTTCAATATAAACAAAAAAATTATAATAATAATAATGTATCCGACACGGATGAATTCGCGTTGAAAAACACGGAAAGCTTGATATTATTAATCGATTCATGAAAACCGTTAGGTCGACGACAGTCGAAAAAACGACCGAGTAAGGGAGGAGGTCGAAAAGTAAAAAAAAAATATTTGTCGTTCGACGAGATTGAAAAATATATTATAATACTATTGTGAATTGTACGCATTATATTTTTATCTTCGAGTATTATAATAATAAATTGTTGTACATCATATTATAATCATGCAGGAGAATATTTTTTAGAAAAGCATCTAAACTAGTAAATACTTTGTTTATTATCGTTCATCACAAAATATACGTATTACAATCACATGCTTATTATAGATATTATAGACGGAACATAAGGGATGATAACGGGTGCAAGTATATTAACGGGTTACGTAACGAGTGACGATTATTATTACCGGTCTCCAGCAATCCGGTGGGCAGTATGTTGAGGGTACGCGTCGGCTTTTTCCATCAGGTACCCATCCAGCTCATCGGCCGAATCGTTGCCCCGGACCAGCGACCTGACCACGTCCGGAGGTATGCCGCCGTGATGGTGATGCTGGTGATGGTGCTGGTTCTGTTGATAATGGTGACCGCCTCCACCGCCGTCGCCGGTGACCGTCGTCTGGTTGCCGTCTGCAGCCCGGACGAGCGACACTCCAGGAACCAGCTGAAAAGCCGTGCCCAGCCAGTCGATCAGGTCCAGTTTCAGGCACGTCATCGTGTACCGGTGCTGACATTTCTTCATCATCACCTGTTGCGCAACATATATACGGGGGCGCGCGCGCACAAACGACGGTATGTAATAACAACTGGCACGTCGACGAGATCGCCGCACGAATGTAATAACTAATAAGCAGGGCCGGATTTATGGGGGGGCCCAGGGGGCCCCGGGCCTCCACAAATTGAGGGCCCCCACTTAATGTTTTTTTTTACATCCAAGTATAAAACACAATATAACATTTTCAAAACGGATTTAAATCACAACATGAATAAAAATATTCAATCATTGATATTGTCATAAATTTATAAATAAATGTTATCATTAATATTTAATAACTAATGAATTTATAGAAGTGAGTAGCTAGCTTACAAATGTGAATTTAAAATCGATTATTATTTATTTATTTATTTATTTATTTATTTTACATTACGGGACTAGCCCAAAGTACAGTTAATGGAATAAGATACAGACAAAACATTATAATAATATTGATATAAAACAAAGACTAAAGATTAAAGACTCGAGAGGTTCTCATTTGCTAAACGCATCATTCGGTGGATAGGGTGGTTTCGGCCATAGTTAGTGGTGTATCGAGGAACGTAGTAGGGGGCCGTTAGCCTGGAAGACCTACTTGGAACACGAAAGTTTACTTCAGCGAGAAGCTCGGGAGCATTTATGGTACCATTCGTAAGTTTATTTAGGAAGATAATGTTGGCAAAAACTCTTCTATCGGAAAGACTACTAAGTTGTAAGTGGTGTAAGACTGGGGAATAATCGTGAGGTTCATGATGGATATTAAGACAAAAGGATGCAAAATTAAGGAATTTACGCTGAACACGCTCAAGTAGGGAAGAGTCAGAGGTTGTATAAGGATCCCAAAGAATGGAACCATATTCTATTATCGGCCTTACAAGCACACAGTATAAATTTTTGAGAGAATAGGTTAGATTGAAATTAGAAGAGAAGCGTTTTATAAAACCTAATGTCTTTAAAGATTTACAGGTGACGTGCTCAATGTGGGAGTGGTAGTCTAAGTTGGAAGTTAGAAGGATACCCAAATCTTTCTTTACAGTAACTCGCGTTATGGAATGGTTGTTAAGAGAATAATCGAATAGAATAGTAGCTTGGCGTCTAGTAAAGGACATAATCTGACATTTGCTGATGTTGAGGTATAGTCTATGGTTCTCTAACCAGGTGGATAAACAATTTAATTCACTCTGAAGGCGTATGCAATCATCAATGGAGTTGACGCATGAAAATAATTTAACATCATCAGCAAAAGCCAAAAAACGGCAGTGCTTAAGAGCAGAATTCAAGCCGTTAATAAAAATAGCAAATAGAATTGGAGAAAGATGACCACCTTGAGGGACCCCTGAGGTAACGTTTATCAAACTTGAGCGACAATCTAAAATTTTTACCCATTGCTTTCTCATAGTTATGTATGATTTGAACCAAGATAGTAGCGGTTCGCCGAAGCCTGCTTTGTAAAGAACGTCAATGAGAATATAATGGTCTACTTGGTCAAAAGCTTTGGAGATGTCAGTGAAAATTACATCCACTTGAGAATGGTTTTCAAGAGCCTGTAAAGTGTAGTTGTTAAATACCATACTATTGAGAGTGGAGGATCTATTAGGCCGAAAGCCATATTGCTCGTCGATAAGAATAGAGTTAACTGGAGATTGAATACTACGGACAACTAGGTATTCAAAGAGCTTTGCAAGATGACTTAGAACAGATATAGGCCTGTAATTACGGATGTCATCACGATCTCCGGTTTTGTGGATAGGAGTGACAGAAGATAATTTCCAAATGTCAGGGAAGATACCGTCATCAAGTGAACGCCTAAATATTATCCATAGGGGGACTGAAATTACAGATTTGATATTAGCTAAGAAAGAACCAGGAATACCATCCGGACCAGCACTTGTAGTGTTTGATAGGGTTTTTAATTTAGTTTCTATATCGGAAACTGAAAAGTGACAGTTACTAGGCAATTGGTGAAAAAGAAATGGGGTACTAGGTAAGGCAGAGCTACTAGATGGTTTGTAAACGGAAGCGAAGTGAATGGAGAACATGTTAGCTATTTGTTCCTTACCTGAGTATTGTTGAGCGTCTAGATGCATGACATTAGGTAGCCCAGAGCTTGAACGACTCTTGCGTACTAATTTCCAGAAAGATTTTGGGTTGCTATTAATTTGGGATTCAATATGAGTTAGGTAATTATTGTGACATTTTCTGGACAAGTATTTAAACTGTGCACGTAATTTAGAGAATGCAGAATAGTCCTGCTGGTTGTGTGTAGCTTTGAAAGTGGCATGTGCTCGTTTTTTAGTGAACACTAATGTTTTTAATTCCTTTGTGAACCAGGGAGGAAACTTTGAAGGAGTAAAACGAATTTCGGGAACGAAGTTGAGTATAGAGTAGTGTAAGGCATCATACAGGCAATAAGCTGCAGAATTTGCATCAAGGTTGAGTAAAGTTGAGGACCAATTGAAAGAATTTAGGAAAGAAATTATTTTTGGATAGTCAGACTTGCGAAAGTCAAAAAATGTATGGGAGTTATTTACAAAGGGTATATGAGGGATGTTTAAAAGTGAAATCTCTAAAGCTGGGTGAAAGGAATCACAGGGAACGAGATGGTTGAGACTCTTTTCAACAGAGATATTTGCAATATTTGAAAATATTAGGTCAAGTGTGGATTGAGAAGAGTTGAGGACAGAGTTATGCTGGAAAAAGTTTAAGGAAGCGAAGGTTTCGGGAACACAGGAGCCAGAAGAACCAGAGGTTGAAGAAAAAGTTAGTCCATCAGAGTCGTTTGACCAAGATAATCCAGGTAGATTATAGTCGCCACAGAATAAATATGAATATGTATTGGTAGGGTTCGCATTGATTAAGGATTCAACCGTTTCCATGTGAGATTCATATAGGAGAGAGGGACTAGAAGGAGGAATATATACACTGGAGACAACATAATTAGTGTTCTTGTAGTGGAACCCTATAAATAGGTGTTCTACTGAATTATTAGAGACAGTTATTGGGTAAGATATGATATCTTTCCGAATAGCAATGAGAACCCCACCGCCCCTTTTTAAGTTACTCGTAAGGTTACTTCTATCACATCTATATACAAAATAATTAGATAATCCTAATTCACTAGATGATATATTACAATGTAACCATGTTTCGGTTAAAGAAATAAATATAAAATTAAAGCTAGATACATTACAAATAACATTGCGTAGTTTAGTTCTTAATCCTCTGCAATTCTGGTAGAAACCAAAAGATTCAGTGAGGGCGTTGACAGAGGATGTGTTTAAGCGGCTAGTTGACTGGTGTGAGAGAGACGCCCTCTGGTGTGGTTTTTTGAGATGGAAGAGATGATTTGTGGAATTCCGTTGATGTAGTTTATGGATAAGTTAATTTCCCCATTTTGTTTGCGATGATCTAGCTCTTCGTGAAGTTGACGTAGTAACTTACGTTCGAGTTTAGATTTATCTCGAACAAATTTGATGCCGGGGGGAAGATTAACATGACTCTTTCTAGCTTCACTAAGCGAAGACAGAAGGCATGCTGCTTCAGCCTTAGAATTAAGGATGATTTTTAGAGGACGAGGGGTGTTGGTGACATTTTTTCCTAGCCTGAATAGTTTAGCGTCAGTAGGGAATTTGAATGACAGATTGGAGAATACATCAGAGACGGATTTCGTGTCAACATTATGTTATTATGTTATTATTATCTTGTAGACTTGTAGATATTTTAATTAAAAACAGTTATAAATAATTAATAAACACATATTATAACTTGTATAGCAAGCCGTCCGCTGTGGACTGTTAAGGGGCCTGGTCGCGATTTTTCAAATTTTCCGCAATTCTATAAAATTTGAAAATTAAATACGTTGCTAAAAATAAATAATAATACAAAAACTAAAAAGTTGTAAAAATGGATTAAATTCAAACTTGTAATATAAGATTTCGAAAAATAATTTTGAAAATCCAAGTCCAATGCTCCCTGCAATACGTCTTCCTCTATTTAACAAAAAAAAAAATTACGGAAATCGGACCAATCTACAAGGCGTGAGAGTTTTTCCTGTAAGGCATGTTTTTGAGCAAAAAAACAGGTCGCGACCAGGCCCCTTAAGGCGGGTTCACACTACACCGTGTCGTGTAATATAATCACGGTTACCTCAGTTACCAAACTATACCACATAGTTGAATATATTCAACTTTTGATCGTGTGGTTACATTAAGTATGAACCCGGCTTTATCTGCACATAAATGTAACCACACATAGGCGCACATTGGGTGTGAATTTAGGGGGTGCTGGGATAATTTATGGTTCACAGATCCGTGGGGGGCAAAGCCCCCCACACCCCCCTAATCCTAATATTTCTGCATTGCATTAGATTTAATTTGTATAGTGTATACAATAATTTCTAAAGTGCAATGTATCAAATAGTCTGTATGATTGTAAAGAAGACGCTAGGTACACCCACATGTGTTGTCTCCGTATTACAGAGGTAGGTACAACATAGGCAAAACTGTTTTGCACGGGTATAAAAAACATTCAGGCTCTACTCTAAGCTAAGAAACTAAATGTTCACACTATAAAAATGAGAAAATTTACTCTGTAACTTTGTTTTTATATTTCCGATATTAAAACCAAAATAAAAGTTATTTAAGTCTGATAAACAAAAAAAAGGTGCTCTGCTGTAAAGTAGGGTACAAGTGGGTCACTGTATACTCGATGGTATTAAATTTGAATTCAATGATATACTAACATCATTGTATAAGAAAAACGATTCTGAGCGAAGACGGTTAGTCAGCCTATGATATTACTAAGTATATTTGATGATACTAAGGTGAATAAAGCAATTTATATATAACCTATTTACGTAGAATCTTGTTATAAATTTTCAATCATTAGCTATAAAAGTTGAACATTTTATAAATTTTTAACTATAAAATTATTATTAAATTTTAAATGTGATAAATTGTAACGATAAATTACACACAATTTTATTTATTTGATGTAGTGTGTTTTTATTCTTATTACAAATATATTATAATGTTGAAAAATATTTGTTTACAATATTTTCTTTTTTTTTGTATATATATATATATGCTCTTCGAGCTACAGCGATACTATGGTATTGATAATATTTTCAATACAATATTTTCTTTTAGTTGATATGTATTTTTGCTCTTCGAGCTACAGATATAATATGATACGCTTTAAAATGAACAAGTTAAAAGACTCACGTTTAACTTCTGTTTAATGTAATAATGTAACCGTTTGGAAATTGGTGGCAATTGACGATCGTGACAGTGACTGCTGGGCTATCTTCCAAGCTCTCAGAGTATGGCAGCGATGGTGTAACGTAGACTACAATCGGGCGGTGGTATGACTCGTCCTCGATGCGGAATCGTTATGAGGTTTGACCTCCTTCCTTCCAACGGGTTTGAACAGTATACAGTAGCTTCAATGGCACGAAGTGGGTACGCAGCGACGAAGTGTAACAGCGCTGACGTTATTTAGTCCGTGGTGATTAGAACACTTACAACGGTATAACATCGGTCGGACGACGGCGACGACTGATAATGCGATTTTACCTCTGAGCGAAAATATTACACAGAGAGCTGCAGCTTGACCAGTACAATGATGAGAGTTGTACCATTGCAGAGTCTGCTGTGTAATATTTGTTTTTCAACGAACGTTTTTACTATATAGCTATCTGCAGCTTGAACAATACTGTGGTGCTACAGATTTCTATATAGCGGGTTTTAGGGAGATTTTTCCTCTCCCACGCTGAGGAATAGTAGCTTGAACAGTACAGACGATGCTGTACCACTACTAATACTACAGGGTAAGGAGAGGAGTAGTACATCAGTTGCGAGGACTCCGCGGCGGGATCCTCTAGTTAGCGATTTTATTATTTAACCGAAAGAAAAACGGTACGACGGTTGTTTGAACGGCGGAAATAGGCGCGTATTCGACTGGTGCGTTCGACGTAACTAGGTAGGTTTTAGGCATTGCATTAGAAGGGATGGCTATGCCGTTAACTATTCCAGGCTTATGCCTCTACTAGTGGATGGAAATTAAAAAGAAATGGTTTGATTTATTGGTCTGCCCAAGAGAGTGGGTAGGGCTTCAATTTACGTTTAGAATTTGGGGGAGGGTGTGTTTTACCTAGAAGTCGGATGTGAGCATGATTAGAGAAAGAATTATTGTAGAACATTGATTTCAGATTTGGTTTGGGAACGAATGGAGTTTTGAATAGATTTGAAATTTGTCGATTTTAGAAGGACCGAATTTCTAACGATAGTGTAGGTTTTAGGGTGAAATGCGACCGGTATATCTGTGGTTCCCCCACTACTGCTACCATGCAGTATAATGGTTACTATGTTTGATGTATTATTGATGTTGTTCCTTTCTGGAACTATATTTTATAGATTTTATTATATGAACTTATGTGGTGCGTTGGTATTCTGTGGATTATTGATGTCGTAGGTTCCAATTTTGCAGGGATTTGTACTTAAAGTAGGTAAAACCTTGACAGTCGTAAAACTGCATTGTTGCCGCGCACTCTATATTCAACACTGAGCATCTTTGTTGATATGTTTTATTAGCATAGGAACTAAAGGATGTTCTTTTATAGTAAAGGTAACAATGTTATATGTGTAAGTATAATGTTTCATTATACTTACAACCAATATTACTTCGCTTTTTGTCATATTCTAATCACGTAAAGTTTACACGTGGTAGGTATCATTACTTGCGTACAAACGCATTAGGCTACCACTAGATAGCGTGAGCTATTTCGTAAAGTGCTCGTTTTGTCCCGTTACAAAATTTTGTCAAAATTTGAATTTTAAATAATTATAAAAAAAAATTGTGCATATGTATTTTTAATATTTTTCAAGTGTTATTGTAACAATATATCAGGAGCTTTGCATTAAATTTTCAAGCTTTTTTACCATATAAATAAAATTTTATTGATATGAATAGAAAAAATAATTAAAAAAATTGAAAACTGAAAATGTCCGTAAATAGCTCAAAATATTTTCAAAACTATATGGTGTATAGGAAATGCTAATATAAAAATTAAGTAAAATTTTCAAGTATCTACAGTCATTCGTTTTTTAATTACAACAAAATTAGAAAATCGTTACATAAGAAATCGAGTGAATATCAAATGTTGTAAAAATATGAATTTCAAACGTTCATAAAAATTTAATTTGAGATACTCGTAAACATTTTTTTTTTGATAAAGGTAGACAAACTTATGAGGAATCTTGCATTACATTTTCATATCTTAGATTTAAAAAGAAAAATTTTTATGAATTTCTAATTCGAAATAATTTTCAAATTTTCGTCATTTTCACGTATTTTGTCAATATTTGGAATATAAATGCTTAGAACAAAAAACTGTGACTAAGGATTTTTAATATTTTTCATCTGTCTTTTAAATAATATATAAGGAGCCTTCTATTAATTTTTTAAGCTTTTATACCCAACAAATAGAATTTTATTGATACTTATAGAAAAAAAAACTAAAAAAAATGGAAACTAAAAATGTCCGTAAAAAGCTCAAAATAACTCAAAATATTTAGACAATTTTATTATGTATAGAAAATGGAAATATAAATAACCAGTGAAAATTTCATATATCTACGGTCATTTGTTTTAAAGTTACACCAAAAACCAAAATAAATTTTCTCGAAAACAGATTTTGCGTAAAAATTCCCGTTTTTCCTTAATTTTTCTTTTGTTTTTCACGGCGCTTTTGAAAACTACTGTGAAATTTTTGCTTTTGACCCCCCCAAAGTACCAACTAGATTCACTTTCCTATCAGAAAAGATACTGTTGGAGAAAATCCAAGCACTTTTACTGTCCTAAAAGATGATGACAGACAAAAAAAAAAAAAAAATAAGTCGTGAATTCGTAAACAGTTGTCAATATTTGTAATGAAAAGAAAAATTCCGAACCAATAAACCACGATAGTTTATAAATGATTGGTGAAATACTGAAATAAACTGAGGGTGCTAGTTTGAAGCTTGGGGGTGCTAAGCACCCCCAAGCACCCCCCTATGTGCGCCTATGTTAAACCACACGGTCAAAAGTTGAATATATTCAACTATGCGGTATCGTTTGGTAACTGTGGTAACCGTGATTATTTTACACGACACGGTATAGTGTGAACCCCCCTTTATAAATAAATGCGTGCTGAATAAGTTCTAAATAAAAACATGTGATAACGTAGACTGTAGAGAAAGATGTAATTATTTATGATATTGATGCGGTAGACCGTAGACGATAGGAAAAATAGATGGTACACTCAGTTTTCACGCTTCAACCATAAAGTATATTTTGATCGTGATATTTATCCACGTTAGTACAATGTATTTTTTATTAAATTAAATTTAGTAATTCGACGATTTTCAATCAAGCGGGATGCTGTCTGTGTAAAAAAGTGGCATTTAGACCAAAAATCTAGACAAAACTGTAGTAATTTGGTTTGACAGATTTCAATTTTGAAAACGGATTAAGATTGATTAACGAGATAACCTATTAGGTTTTTATCGTGGTGATTTTTAATATTTCGAAAATTGTTAGTGTCACGATTAAAAATATAAATAAA